CCTGTTTCCTTTAAACATTTTACAACCTATAGGATGGTTTTGCAGGTAGGATGCAGGCCTGCAGAAAACGCTGCCAATCGTGCTTTGCATCCACATTCATCGTAAAGCAGAACCACCTCAAAATAATCATTTTTTGAAAAACATTCCCTGAACATGAGCTTCAACATACAACTCCGAGGAGATATCTTTGTTATAGCTGTCTCAGGTGAACAGGTGTGACGTTTCATACACTATTTGCATAATGAACAAATTTTCACAGCAAGCTCAAGTTGCACTGAGTTGATGCATTTTGTGACACGAATGTGCACGATCTCCATATTGTATACTCCGTTTGTAATGGCATTCAGTACAAGGATGCACATCGCGGGGTTTGAACCACAGTCTTCTTGACTGTGAATTACAAGCGATAGCACCATGCCGCAATACAGGCTTTTGTTTTGTCCAAAAGATAATCTTTTCTCTTTAGTTTAAGTTTTGTGATGTCTGAGTTTCAGAAATCACAAAGAAACAAATGTGCGTTTTCAGTGCTCTGTTTTTAGCATTCATATCTGCAAGGCGTCTTTTTGTACTAAATGGACCATGCTCTACAACTTTGTAATTCACTTTTTTTCCTTATAGTTTTTGAGACAGGGACACTAACTCAGCCATTTTCCACCAGGTGGTACTGCAAGCTATCTAATCTAGTAGCACATAGCCACTTTACTATATGTAGACATCACTTTTATGACTATTGCTGTAACCATTTGGCAGTTAAACAGGTGGTACCGGACTTAAGTGGGCACCATGTATATGTTACTGGTCTAGAATAAGAGGAATATTTTTTCAAAAACTGCCTAAATCATGATTACTGATTTCAAAATTTGCAGTAGTTTGGAGCAGCACGTAATAAGAATTTATGTATTCTTAGCATGCTTAATTTAATAAATGCATTCAAAAACGGAAATCAGAAAAATATTTGGACCTGAAATTTTACATTATCATACAGATATCAAATAATTATCAGCGATTTCTTAAGCCACTATATAAAAGTTCTGAATTTTCTGACATCACTGCTCTGACAGAGTTATTCTAACACTAACAAGAACATAAAACTTATAAAAAGAAGAATCCAGAAAAGAAGCTTTCCTGTATAAGAAATTTTTCTCAGATATAAAGTTCATATTTTTTGAATTTTTCAAACTAAGAAGTTTAACCTTTTTATATATTTAAAAAATACTTTTGTTAGTTTAGTAAGTTTTAAAGATGTGTAAACAAAACAAAAAGTTTCAATTAATAGATTATCTCTTGTCATGTCATCTGATTTTGAAGCAATCAATAAAAACTATAGTGTAATATTATTTATTTAGTTAAATTGATTTATCAGCCAATAAAATCAGCTAATTGATATCTGCTAATGAGAACTATAATAATCTGCACAAATATCTTTTGATTGCTTCTGCAATTCCGAAACCTACTGGTGCAGTCATGAGCTTTGTAAATACTGTTCGATCTTGTGGGCTTGCTCACAGGCAATTTCCAGATTTTCTTCAGTCCATGCAGTCTGAATACTCTGATGCACTGTATTACACGGAAGTAAGGTGGTTTAGCGCAGGATGTGTTTTCGATCCAGTTTGGCAGCTGAAAGACAACATTGTGTCATTCTTCCATGAGAAACGGTGTTCTGCAGAGTGCGAAATGTTAGAAGACACAGAATGGCTTTCGGAATTTGCATTTTCACAGACCTTCTTTGTCATAGGGGCAATTTGAATGTCAAGATGCAATGGAAAAATCAATTTATCGACGATATCTGGGATCATTTCAAAGCTTTTGAACTAAAACCCAATCTGTTTGCTTTGCAGCTAGCTAAGAACGACTGGTCTCATTTCCCGAGGCTAAATTCAATACCCTCAGTAAATGAAGAGAAGCTTAAGAATTATGAAGATAGCTTAGAAAAAACTGCATTTTGAGTTCGAACACTGATTTCATGATTTCAGTGTCATTCAAACAGAATTGGATATTTTTACCATGCCTTACAATGTAAACTGTGAAGCAGTGAGGTCAGATTTGAAGCTTGAATTAATTGAGATGCAATCTAATTATCATCTCAAGCACTTGTTTCTAAATGTGCTAAAGTTAAGAGTTTTATAAATCATTATTGAAAGTAAGTTTCCCAAATTTAATATCTCATGCTCAGAAAATCAGTGCTAAAGCGTTTTCAACTATGAACCTTAGAAAGAATTATTTCAGAAGTAGACTGACAGATGAATATTTAGCCTCGTTTCTTAGAATCAGTGTATCTTACTTTGAACCTCAATATAAACTTCTAAAAATGAAATCCCAATTTCATAATCTCATTAAGATATTTCAATAGTAATACTTGTATATTGTTTTTAAAATTTTAGAAAAATTTATCTTGGCCCGCCATCCCCCCCCCCCGATTTTTGACGCGCAACCAAAAAAGTTTACCCATCCCTGCACTAATTACTTCTAGTATATTGACTTTTTTAAGATAACCAAAATCTCTTCAAGAACTTTTTAAAAGGTTTCTATTGCAAATAAAAATTATGTAGCACAAAAAACTAGATTCTAATCTTCTGAGCGCAGTTTTTAAATTAAAGATACATAGAGCTTGTCTTTTTTTCAAACAAATCAAAAACTACGTACAGTGAATTAGTTTAAATTACTGCTTTCTAGGTTATAAAGGGGGTAGATTATATCTCCATTAATGTTTTCAAGATTAATTTCTATACCCATTTAAATTGACAAACATTTGTTAAAGATAAAATTCCAAAAATACACTTTGAAGTGTTTGATTTAAGAAATACTCAGCACTGAAAAGTATTTCACACTTTCTGAATAATCTTTATTTTATATTCAGATAAATATTTTCAAAGTATCTGTTAGTTAAGCATCCAAACCTGTTAAAAGATGTATTTCCAAATAAGAAAGTGAATTTAAAATAAAATTGCAAAATGTAAGTATCTGTCACACCAAATTCTCACTAACATTTAGATATCACCGATTTCCACTATAAACTACTACATAAACATATACTATCAGGTATTTGCTAAAAACTGTAATCAAAATTAGCTTTTACTACATAGGTATTTGAAATGAACACTTTTTTCAAACAAGGAAGTGCATTTTACAGCAAAAACTCAATTATCCTGAAATTTAAGGAAATGCTGAATGCCAGATATTGTACATGGGGAGAGAAGTATTTCGTACAGTTGAGCACATAAAAAATAAAATTAAGAGTAGAAAAGCTAAATGAAATAGTTTTAAAATTTTGGTTAGAAAAGAAATTTTAGGAATTAGAAGAATTTTTTGGCAAAAAATTATAAAAACAGCCACTTTTATTTGTTACCCAAACCCTACATCTAAAATTGTGTTAAAAAAAGGAGGGGAGGCATTTTGGACACAAAAGCTAACATTTTCATACAGAACTGAAACTTTCAGCATGGTAAGTGACCCCCCCTCCAAAAAAACTAACTTTTGTTCACTCTGTCAACAGATGCCATTAACAACTGATTTGTAATTCTGAAAGCATCCACAGGTATGCAAAATTTTGAGTGTTAAAGCTTTTCTAGTATAAATAATAAATATTATTTGAAATATTCAAAATTTAAACATTCAGGGAGTAAAATATTGTCTGGACAATTCATATGCTTACTAAAAAATTAATCCAATAGCAATATTTACAGGACTGATATAAAAATATCCTTAGGAAAACTAAGAACATAACACAAAAATATCACCTAATTAAAGGCAAATTTTAACTAATTAAAAGTATAATAAATGTTTAAAATACTGGTACCTAAATTTATGGTTTGAAAAAGCAGGATTTGTCTGCATAAATACACAGTGTAAATCTACATATAAATTTTCTTGAATCTCCCAGAAAATAAAAGTAATAATGAGAAAATTTGTAACATTTATTATTTAAATTAATCGGTTATTTATAATTTCTTTATTATAACTTCTCCTTTATGTTCCCTCGTCAGAAATGTAAATCAGTGCACAGGTTTTTGAATTATAAGAAACAGCATATTTTTGTCTTTTGAGGCCATGTTATTTTAGTCCTACCATCTCTGATAAGTTTTTATTCAGCTTGCATTGTTAGCTACTGACATTTAAATTGTTATGCCAGTTACAGTTTTGAACCAACTTCACTTTACACTTAATCATGTAGTCTGACTATTAGCCTGCTATCAAAGCAAATCAAACTATATTTAAAACTTTTTAATAAACTATATTTTAAACTATATTTTAAAGTTTAAAATATATTCAAACTATATTTTAAACTTTTATTTAAAACTTTTTAATTAAAGCAAAATTTGAAACCTGTATTTTATAAACATTGTAGTTCATTTTAGACATAGCAATATTCTGCTTAACATCTGTTAAAGTTTGGAGCCAGTTTATGCTACCAAAGCAAATCAAACTCTGTAACTTTTATTTAAAAATTTGAAATCTGCATTTTATGAACAACCTTTAAAAATATTCCCACGTTTCTTATGAAGCTAAGAAGCTATGAAATTTAATAAATGATCCACATAATGAAGCCTGAAGACTCAAGTTCATTCTCAAGTTCTCAAATTTTTTTCAAGATCCACATAGGGATGTCCTCTCCCCAAAATTAATCTTTATTTAAAGAAAGCTGTTAATCATAAAAAACTGTTAACAGCTGAAGTCCAGACACATTGAAAAAACAATAACTATTTCCTTGATTATAAGATACATTACCCTCCTCCATATAAATGTAACTAAAAGAAAGTTGGGTCTTGGACACATATATAATTCTGATTTACTTATTATTCTTAACAAATAAATTATTTCAGAAATGCTAAAAATTATTATCAATTGTTATCACTCTTCTAAGACCAAAGTTCTTTTCCTTTTGTGGTAGAGAAATTAAAAGATTGCATCATACAATCCATGAGATGCTTGAATTGAATAAATATAGTACTTGGATAATTAATATATATATATTTTTTTCCAGTACACATGCTATTTTATACCTCAGCAAGTTTGAGCTGCTCAAGCGAAACTGGTTCTTGAAGAGATTCCAGGAACTGCACAGCATACTTTTCAACAGGTGTGAGCTACAAATGAGAAAATATGAAAATTACATAAAAATATTACAAGAGATAATGCATAATATATTAAAATGTCATGTTCAATATTAACATATGAACAAATATTTACAATTATTGAAAAAACGTTAAATATTTATTTTCACACCTTATCATTGCACATGTACAAATATAAAAGCTTAAGACGAGCTGATTTAATACAGAAAATTATAAGATTAGCTCTGAATAAGCTGAAATAATCTCTAAATATGTACGGAAAAAAAAAGCAGATTTCTCAACCAAGGTTAATTGAATCAATTTTATATATTTTCAATAAATTTTTATTGCTTTATAATATTTTTTCTTACCATTTCCTTAATGAAAGAGAGGGGGGGGGTTCAATTTTTACATGGAAGGCAGAATTTGAAAATATTCTTAATCATCAAATATCCCCCCCCTAAAAAAATTCCCACAGCTCCCAACACTGAAGTATTTTATGCAATTTGCAACTTCAAACTAGCAAATTTGTTTCAAAAGTCAATAACACAATTCAGGCTTTCAAATCGGTTAGAACATGATTTTAATGATGTTACATAATTGATTGTAGTATAATTAACTTTATTATTATTTTAAATATTATACTGTTGTATACCTTTTAAAGCCAAAAAAAAAAAAAAAAAAAAAAAAAAAAAAAAATTGATCCTAATAAGGAAAGGAGGCCTTTAATGAGTTAACTATTGCCCAAATCTGTAAAACATATTTGGAAAACTGCTGCTTTTCTACCTCATCAAGACTATATCTTTGGTATCACAGCTCACAAGTATGCACACTCACGTGGAAACACACATAAAAGTTTATTAAAATCAGGCAAATTTTAACAACATTTAAAAATTAGTTAAACCACTGTAAAAACGTTATAATGGGTTGGGGGGGAAGAAGGTAACCTTATGCTGATACCATAAACAATCCTATCAGGTAAAGTTACACCTGCAGTATTAATTAAAATCGAATCAGACACAACACTTATCAAAAATAATGAATGACATACCTGTTCCATTAATTTTTCAAGTTCCTCTTCAGCAGGAGACTTTTCTTCATTATCGCGGCTATCAGTATCTAAAGGTATAGATTCATCAAATTCTGCAAGCTCTGCCACAGCTTCTGCTTGAGCAGTTTTTGCAGCTTGCAAATCTGATTCTTCTTCAGCCATTCCCAAAGCCTGGAAAAATAACAGCTTAGTACAAACTCCTAAAACTAAATGAGCCGTTAAAACATAAGCACAAAAGTACAAATTTAATCTATTCATATGGAAAGGTGGAAAATAATTACTTGTTCCAGCTGGGACTGTGAAAATAATTCAGCATTTTCTGGAGCAGTATCAGGCATTTCTTCGATTTTAGGATCCTCAGCAGAGAATTTAGAAAATTCTTCTCGAAGATCAATTCCAAAGAGTTCGTGAATAGTATTCTAAACAACAAAACCAATATAAGATGTTGTTCCCACATAAAATATTAAATATAGAGGGGGGGGGAGAGAAAACATAGTATATATTTTTTCTTTTCTAGAAATACCTTTTTGAAGAAAGCAGTTGTGAAATTGCCCCCTTCAATAGCAAGATCTCCAAGAATTCGTTTTTGATTTGCTTTCTTCAAAATATTTTCTTCTATTGTTCTTTCACTTATTAACCTGAAAAATAAATAATTTTAAATAAACTTCTATGAAACAATCAAACTAGACAGCAGAATGCAACTAATTTCAGCAAAACACATAAAGTAAGCAAACACAATAAATTTTAACATAAAGCAAAAAATTTATATTGAAAACAGTTTGAAATTTTAGCATAAGCTTATTACCCTTCACTGCCCCTGACTGGATCTTCACCGTGACATGAACATTGATCTCCAAGTTAGAAAGAACTGATGTAGATATCAACAATTACTGAGTTCAACTATTAATGGCATATCTGCCAATCTTGACATATGACAAACCATGAGTTTTCAGGAGATTTTTGTACAGTGTGGCTGCACCATTTAAAAATAATTCCAAACCGACTTAAATCTACTTGATGATTACTACTACGCATGATTCAAGTTCTTCAAATATTTATAATATGATCTTGATGCAAAATATATCAGCATTTAATTAGCTATTCTTAACTTTATTAGCCCAAAGGGCATTAAAGCCAAAAGGCATTTCATTTTGACAATTTGCATAGAAAATTTTCAAGAATAAACTCAATTGGAATGATACCATTCCATCTAAGGAGCTGAAGGTCTAGTTAAATTTCTAAGGGAGCTACCAGAAATCAATAAATTACAAATTTCCTGGATCCATTCTTATACGTGAAGCCATCATTATTAATCTTCATGGATTCTGCCATGCATCCGAAAAAGCGTTCGGTGCGGTGATTTAAATCGTCTGCCAGAAATGGAGCTACAGAAACAAGTCTACTGTGCAGCTAATCAAGAGTTTGCCCAATTAAAGCTCTAACCATTCCATGACCGGAACTGTCAGCTACACTGCTATTGACCAACTTGTGGCAAAGGTGCTTGTAATTCTTCAAATCAAATTCAACCACATTTATCCATGCAGTGATTTAATGATTGCATTAGCCTGGATCAAGAAGTCCCCTGAAAGATTAAAAACCTTAGTGTCTAATCGGGTCCAGCTGATAAACTCTTTGTGCCCAAATTTTCACTGGAGGTAAGAATTAAGTACCTTCTTTCGATGCAGGGTGTATATGTTATGGCATTACTTACACCTACGCACCACAGCCTTGTAGCACTATTTTTTGGTATTTACTTAGGAGAGAATAAAATTATTCATTAGCAGAATCAGTCCATAAAGATAAATGTACATTTCACTTTTCAAATTGTTGCAACCAAATATTATCTTATTTAAGCAAATATTATAATATATAAAATACAAGGTGTTTATAAAGACCCGGACCCAGTTAACTCTTAAAATAATAAAGATAGATTAAAATTAATAACATAAATGGTTAGATAGACTCAAAAAGTTTCATGACCCTTGTCAATGAAATTCCATGAGTGCCCCCTTCGTTGCACGGAGAATATCACGTCGATATTCAATTTCATGCCAGGTACCGCCAAGCATGTCGGCATCCATAGAGGCTATTGCGGTTGTAATTCTGGCTTTTAGGTCATCAATGTTCGACACTCTTCTCCTGTAAACGTTGTTTACACATCAAAAGTAAACATAACATTGCAATAGTTGCCAAAAACAAAAGAGAGAAAAATGCAATTAATAAGCAGACAATATTTAGAAAAGTACAGATATTTAGACTGGAAAATGAAATTATCCGAAATTAACCACACACGCAGACGATATTTACAAAAGTAAAGATATTCAAACCTGAAAAGGAAAATATACAAGTTATTCCATCAATAAATGCCATAAGTTTGTTTATATCTTAATTATTTTATGAGTTATTAAACATCAAAATGGGTCCGGGACTGTATTATAATATATAAAAAAATATTATCATTTTATATTATAATATTTGTGTTACATTTAATTCCTTTAAATATAACACAAATATTGTGTTAAGGAAATTAAATAATGAAGAACCTGCATAAACATATGTATGTTTCTTGTATTGTAATAAAACAACGGTAACTAGAGCCATCAAATTTTGAAATAATGTACGTTTCCACAAAATATGGGCATCCGGAATCCCTAGTTTGGAATTTGTTCTATAATTGATTTCTCATTGTGTAACACTTTAACAAATTTTTCATTAACAAACTCAAAAATTTCAAAGCGAGCAATGGCAACACTGTAATCTCCAGCGTGCAAGACTGTGTATCACAAATTCTAAATTTATATAAATAACATTTTGTGATATTGCTATTGAATTTATAGTTCAACTGCAAAGAACATATTTAATAAATAAAGGTAAACACACAAAACGTTAGAAAAAAAGCTCATTTGGGCATAATATAAAATCTGAAAAATTTCAGGTTTTTTTTAAAAAATTATTATTAATTTCCTTTTGTGATTTTCTTACACTTGGCAATCCTGAGTAAGGAAGGAAAGCCTAATTTATTAAAGTACTTAACGAAGTTATTAAAGTGACTTTGTGTATTAAGTGACTTGAATTTATTAAAGAATATGACGAAAATAACATTAACAAGAATGTACATACTACTATGCGGATTAACTTAAAATAATTTACCAGATATAAAAACAGTTAACTAGCAATAAAGCAAAATTAAACACAAATATTCATTTATTAAATCTCCAAATAAAAATTCAAATCAAATACAATTTTATAAGCAAAATAATTATGCTGAAGATCGCTAGGACTTAAATTTCCACAATCTACAGTTTTACTAATTCAATAAATTTCATTTATTGCTAAAAAAAAGGCTTTCTTTAATAAATGCTAAAAATTATTAAAAATTAAAAATCAGGAGATATAAAAAAAAAAAAAAAAAAAAAAAAAAAAAAACTGGGTGAGTCAGCAGCTACGCAATCATTATAGCAAAAGTAATTCTTGGTTCTTATTTCTGAGGTTAAATTTTTTCGTTTTAAAATTCTCAATTTTAAGGAACCTAAATGAGTGACTGGGAGAGCTAAATATAAAGACAATTTTCATATTATTGTTTCCCAAAAAAATATACACACATCTGCAGAACATACTTGTCAGCAACTTTTTTATAATTATTTCATTAAATAAAATTCAAAGGCATATGATGTTTGGCAATCTGCACATATCATGAAACTTCTGTCTACAGTCCTTTAGGATGATGTCACACATTTCTGTTATTTTCTCTGCATTTGACAAGAGACAGTCAGAATCATTATAATCTTAACTAATATACAGCCCTTTTTGAAAGAACGAAACTTCTTGTTATTACAATCTCATCAAAAGTATTTTCAATGGTAGCTTGAACATTCTGTAAATTTCAGCATCACTTTTACCAAATTTATCACAAAATCCAATTCACACATATCACTATTCTTTATCAAACATATATGATGAATCACAAACATTTTATGGGTTAAAATAGCAAAACACAAAATAATCTGAAAACTTTCAGATTTTATATTACGCCCAAAAGGGCTTTTTTCAATGTTTTGCGGTGTTACCTTTATTTATTAAATATCATGCTCTTTGCACTTAAACCACATAAAATCGAATTCAACAGCAATATCACAAAATATTTAAAAAGATCATATCTTTAGAATTTCTAATACACAGTCTCGCGTGCTGGAAATAAAAAAAATGTTTTATTCCATACAGTGTTGCCATTGCTCACGTTGAAATCATTGAGTTTGTTAATGAAATACTCATTAAAGTTTTACAAAATTTGAAAAATATATTAAGAGTTCAAAATTCAGACTTCCAAGTGCTTGTGTTCGATTGGAAGTCAACATTCTTCAAAATTTGGTGGCCCTAGGTACTCGGTTTTTTCACAACGGGAGAAACATTCATGCACATTTTTCATTATTTAGTTTCTTTACATATAATGCATGGCAATAATATTTGGTAGAACCAATTCGAAAAGGAAATCAATGCAGAAAGTGAAATGACGAGAAATGTCATTCTGAGACTAATAGCCTTTGGGCTAATAATGATATTACAAAAAATTTACCTAAATAAAACTGCATACACAATCTCTTAAATTTCTAATGATCATGGGGAGAGAAATATTGGACAGTATGTTTATTAATGGGACAATGCTATCTTTTATATTTTAAAAACAATTAATAACACATTGCTTCAAATTAATACCTTAATTTTAGAAAAAATTAAATTCTGACCATCTGCATGAAATTTACCTATAAATATGAACATCTCTTGTTTGACCAATTCTATGACATCGATCCTGTGCTTGAGCATCCATAGTAGGATTCCAGTCACTGTCATAGAAAATTACAGTGTCTGCTCCTGTAAGGTTTACGCCAATACCACCAGATCTTGTTGATAAAATGAAGCAAAAAATACGCTTATCTGCATTGAATCTCTCCATTAGGGCCTATAAGAAATAAAAATAAAAATTCTCTTAATCATTCACGCACCAAAAGATTATATGTTCAAAGAATTAATGAAATTAGGCATTATCTTCTAATCTCAAGGGCATTCTAAGACAGTATAACAAGTGAGAAACCCATAAAGTATAAAGTATGAGATTTTAAAAAATAACAAAAGCTTATTTATCCTCCCAGAAAATGACAGTTTGTTTTACACAGGATGCTTCATAAAGTGTGCAGACTGAATTCTGAGACATTTAAAGATTGTTAGCACTGTTCTCATCATTTTTATAAGCTACTAACATGCACTCGGCAACTACGATTAATTCAGCAGTTTTTGCTTTTTTATTTAAGTGCCATGTCATTATCATAACATGACAAAATCATGTAAACCCATTACATAAACAGGTATCACACACCTTTGCGACCTGCTCTGTATAAAATGGATAATGGATAGCATGAATATGTAGCACCAGCAGAATAGAACTACTTACACATCTCACAAGAGACTTGTTTTATAGAAAATTATTTGGGTGCAGGATAACAAGAATGGCCTGAGATGTCACGACTCCACCTCTTACAATTTCATTTTATGGAATTATATCATCTCAAACTGCAAACTGTTCATGAACTAAAAACAAACATTCAATGAGTCATTAGTAAAAACAATACAGATGTGTGAAAGGAACACCATGAACTTTATCACTACAGTAGCTGCACACCGAGAAATTGGAGGTTGATGTTTGCTAGATGTTATTATTTTGACACTTTATGCAAGTTATTTGCTGTATTTTTAAATCAATACAAGTTATGAATTACTTTATATAAGTTTAACTTATCATTACTTCTTACTTTTACCCTTGGATAATGTGACTGACTAAACTGAACTAATCAAATGCCAAATAATAATTCATCTCTTTAATGTTACATTCTCGAGCCTGCTTGATTGCTCTCTGGGGATTGCCTTGAAAGTTGAAGAGATCTGTATTAGCAAATTCATTTAATAATCCTTGAAACATGTCTTTTGCAATGCCATGCAATGCTTCATGAATTCCTGCTGCAGAGGTTGTTAAAAGCAGGCTCTTGAACAGCGTCAAAGATTGAAAATGTGTCCTTTTATGTCTCTTTTCACCACGAAAACAAAGAGAAGTAATGGGGGGAGGGTAAGTCAAGGTTGTATGGCACTTAATTCTTGGTCAGAAACTGCCTCACTATCAATGCACTTGTCATGGTGGATGATCCAGGTGTTGGTGATCTGAGGATGGATATGAAAGTTGGATTTTCGAAGTTTTGTCAGTGCTCGGATGTAAAATGCTGCATTCATTGTCATTCCTGCAACCATAACACACCATAAACTCACACATGTATAATTGTTGAAAATACTGTGCACGACCCACATTTTTGTCTGTCTTGGTGGTGGATGGCTGCTCCTCTTTTCATCCTGTAAGTTCTCTCTCCCTCTTTGAAGGTCATATGCCAAATTCCCATGTTGTTCGGAGGTTTCTTGAAGTCTGCATGCAACATGTTAAAATTGTCCATCTCAGATTTTCTGGAGTTGCATAGAAAATTTGATGGCATACATTGCTTGATCGAATGATGATCTTTTTTCTTTAATATGTCACCGGCACACAAATTCAGTGCATTTATAATTTGCTCATTCCCGCTACGGTTGGTCGTGATGTGTGCTCCCCAGCACAAGTTTTCCTACTCACCACGCCTCCTGCATGATGTGCCAGAGCTAATCTTATTACTTAAAAACATAGTAAAAGCTTTTATTACATATTCTCAAGTAACTGAAAATTATATTTTTCTGCATAATTTGATATGGCTTCAAAAAAAAAAAAAAAAAAAAAAAAAAGTGTACAGCTGAAAGTTAATATATTAAAAATAAGTTGTTATTAGAAAAATTATGCTAAACAGAGCTATAACTTCTATGAAGATTTTCTTTTTGTATGTCAGGAAACTACATTTTGAAATGCAGTACTACTTGCAGAGCAATATATGAATCCTCTTAAAATTTAGCAATACACATTATAGCGTATGCAAAAAGTTTTAAACCTTTCATCTATCATATAGCAATAATATTAAATGTAAGTAACACAGCAAGACATTCACTATACTGCAGTTTTTTCCAGACACCCGTATTTATTTCACATAATTTTTGCAGTGATAAATAATGCATGAAATATACTAACCTGCCTCTGCTCCACTTTTGTATTGCCATCCAATCGTAAGTATGTATGACCATGATAGTTAAGGAACTGTTCAAGAATATCCAACATACGTGTCATTTGTGTAAATATTAATACTCTGTGATGATTAATTTTCAATTCCCAAAGAAGATGAGCAAGTCTTTGTAGTTTTCCTGCAGAACAAAAATTATGCTCTAAAAATAATACTTTTTACTAAAAAAATCATCAATCCAACAAATCTATAGAACAGTAAAGATTTTACTTCTCAACTTAATGTACATGTATTAATAGAAACCAAGTTGGAAAATAATTTTCTAAATTGATACAATATGAAATAAAAAACTTCCAAAAAGATATAAAAAAACCATTTCAATTAAATAAACTAAACTCAGTGGTGCAACTGCTTTCTTGACCATGGGCCCCGGGATACGTAAGCATATACCCTGAACAAGTGGTGAGCTTGCCACAGAACCCCTAGTATTTAGTGCCCAAGTGAACTTGGTACTAATTTTATCAACCCAAGGGATGAAAGGCCTTCCAGCCCAAGGATCAAACCCTGGACCTGTGGTGACACTGCGCCACCAGGTGCTTTACAACTAAAAAGTCTCTCTAATTGTCTTCTTATGCAAAATTATGACAATTTAAACATTATTGAAACATAAAAATAAAACTGATAAAGGTAATCATAATATTATAAAGAGCAATGGGATGGGGACATTCAAATTATTCTGAAAACAAAATTCCCAATAAATATGCTCAAAATACCAAAAATTAAACATGTATACTTACCACAATCATACTCAATAAGGCGTAACTCAGGAAACTGGGTTTTCATATTACTAACGATTGGATGAAGAAAGGCACAAGCTGGAGAAAGATAATCAGTTAACATTTCTGCATTCCTCTGCTCAGTATTTAATCTTGAGGGTGGAGGATGAGATACATGTAACTGCACAGAGGGTGCTGTTACAGCAGGAACAACGAAAACAAACCTGTGATTAAACCATATCATAATATTAACTGCAACAGAAATAAAACATTAAATCTTATAGAAGCAGTAATTAAGTTAATCACTTCACAAATGCTTGGCGAAATAAATTCAAGTTATATGGAATAAATTTACATAAGCCTTTTTTAATACAACTGCCAAATGCTTGATTGAAAACATCTGTTGAGACTGTTTACCTTGTCATTAAGAACAGTGTCCAGGGTGCTCCACTAAAGGCCCGTCCACACGACTACGTTCAAAACGTAGCTGACGAACACACTTTTACGTTATCAGCAAAAAAGTGTCCAAACGAGTACGCTGGCGAAGAGTGCGTTTAACCAATAGAATTATTTTGTGCAAAAATCACGTGGCGCTTTAATACAGCGTCAACGGAGCTGTATCTTGTTACTTCGCTGTGCTTTTATATGTTTGCGGCAAGTTGCGTGAATCAGATGATTTTTTGATAGCTGAAACTTTACTTCATTAAGCAGAGGCAAAACTGCAAAAAAATGACGAGAATGGTTCCGAAAGATTTATTTACAGCAACCTGTTCAAAAAGATTTTTTTTTTCTTTACTGCCTCGTTTGCAAAATGAATATCCGGAATTATTAAATTCCTACTATTAGCTCACACTCTCCGTATATCTTGTTCAAATTTTCAGTCGCTAATAAAATACTTTTTTTCATCCACTCAAGTTCAAATACAATTTTTTAAATTTGTAGTGGACGACACTTGATGTTAATACAGCTTTTTCACATATTAAAATTTTTTAAATTTTTCTTTGTGGACCTACTCCTCCTCCCTTGGTCTTTTTTCTTTTTATTTATTTTTTGAATTTAGAATGAGGTTCAAACTTTGGACAGTTTATGAGAAATTATGTGCATGATAAAATATGCAATAAAGTAAAAATAAAGAGATAATTTATAGATGATATATGATAAAGAGATGCAGATATATTATTACATACGGATTTCTATTTGCAATGAACATTTTTAAACTAAATTAAAAATAATAATAATAATGAATAAAATAAGAAACGAAAAACAAAAATAATAGGTAAAATAAGAATATAATGATTCATGATTAAATATAAGAAAAACACGTTTCAAAATGAGAAAAGCTAACTGAATTTATACACCGTCTACGGGTGAGGTTCGAACGTGCCACCTTTCCATTGCACCAAAGAAAGCGCACGCTGACCACTCAGCTATCTATGTGATAGCAGTGTTTGTGAAAAATAATGTAACAAGTAGAAGTCACTGCAAAGGTAATTTAATTAAACTTCAATAAATGATTGCTGTATGACACAAGTTGTAACTTTCCTCCAAAATTTCGTAATTGTATTTTATTGAATACTCTTTCACAGTCAGCTACTTTATTTTAGAAGTTGTTATATTGCTGAAGTTAGTTTTTGGTGTATTTAATATTAGGATATTTATAGAGCTTTTTATTACACATGATATAGCCAATATTTATAATAATTAAGGAGAATTTTGTAAGGCAGAAACTTTGATTTCGTAGAAACTGTAATTTATTTATTACTTATGGTGTTATAAACAGGTGAAGCATATGGATATACTGGTCGGATCATTGCTTTATGAATATAGTTTTCCTCTTTAATGAGAATTTGAAATTTATACCATTATATATGGTTTGACAAATGCTTTATAAATATAGTTTTCCTCTTTAATGAGAATTTGAAATTTATACCATTATATATGGTTTGACAAATCTGAACATGGCGTGAACAATGCTGATTATTTTATTGCTGTATACAGTTATGATATTTAAGCAAAAACTCATCCCTGTGTGGTTCTGACGCCATATTAAAACGGGTAAGTAAGCAAGAAGGTTTTCTGATTATGACACGTGATAAGAACTCGGTCGGCTATTGGCTGTTCGTTCACGTTACGGACGTAAAAGCTGAACAGGAGCAAATTCAGTTTTACGTCTTTTGCATCACGCGAATTTATGGCAGCGTCAAAAAAGTCTTATGTAGCAAGCTTACTCATGTGGACGGGCCTTAAAAGAGGATTGATGCAACACAACTAGGAAGGAATGAGTCAGATAGATATAGCTTACATGGTTTTAAACCCTGCCTTTAATTTTGAGCAGTCATTTAAAGAGTTCCACTAAAAAAACTTATCAACTACATCTAATAGAAATTATTCTTTCCCTCCTTTTTAAATTCTTAATCAGAAGAATCATTATGCATGCAATTTAAGTACAGAACTTATGCTTAAAACCACAATTTTCCAGTGACCTAATTTCTTTATATAAAATAAATACATGAAATTAAAATAGTCCAAAACAATTAACCCTTTGTTGCATACAAATAATCTAGAGAAATTAAACGAAAATGTTTGTAATTTTCCTACTTAAAATAAACTTAGTAAAAATTTAGAAAAAAATAATTTTATTCAAATTTCGTTTTAAATAATTGCTATAGTTTCTTCACTACAGTAGACAGCATGCATATACAAATCCCTTCATAATGATTTACGATCATTGCATTTGAGATCATTTCCTGCCTTGTTTGCAGTGATCATTACCATCTTCTAAACGGTAAATCTATAACTGACATGTACATACAGTTCCCCCAAAACACATTCATTTCATTGATCGTGATTGAATTCCTTTTGCTACAATTTTGCAACCTGTACCTAATGGATTCAAATGTGAAATGTTCTAGAAATTTCAAGCATAAACATTTCCAGTGGTGTTTTGGCTTAATAAGCAGTACATTTGGATTTCAATTCAACTCTTTTCGGTAGAACTTTATCTATCCACTCCACAATTTTCTCAAACTGACATTTAAAATAAAATGTCTAAAATTACTAATTACGAATAAAAAATGGCAGTATAAGAAATGTAAGCAATATTATATAAAGTTTACTACGAGAAATTGTACTAGCTTGGAAGCAGAAGTAGCAGCCATTTTTCAAATAGCAATGCTTTACTTAGTGATGTTATACAGCCATCTATGACCGACAGTTGAAAGTTCTAATAATATAGAATGAATAAAGACAGGAATGGAATCTGTTAAGGTATTTACAGAAGAATAAACAAATTAAAACTTTTGTCTGCTAAAGTGGACATGATGCAATAAAAGGGTCAACATTAAAAGAAAAATAAGGGCACTTAAAAGTATGCCTTTTCATTCACAAAAGTAAAAATGCAGTATTTGTTTTTTCAACAAATTCAGAAGGCTCAGTTTTATTTAAATGATGTAGCATAATTTGGAGTAAGATACTAGCAACTGCAATGGAGTTATAAATCCACCTCGAAACTTCAAAATGCAATATATACAGAAAAAGAGGTCATTTACCAAAATAAGGAGAACCTGAACACATCCAAAGACAAAAAGCAGAATAACAATTAATCCATAATATTATAAAGGAGAATCTTTTCCTAAATGAAATAGCAAAATACTTTGTGTATTGCTAAAATAATTTCTGCACTAAGGATTTTCAAATTATATATAATGAATGAGCAAAGGTGAAGAACAGATGAAAGGATAACCAAGACAAGAATGAAGATAACAGAACTGTATTATCATGTTCTGGATGCAGTGACTTGAATGAAGAGAACAAGATTTCCTAACATGCAACAAAATATTAACATGGCGGTTCTTGTTGATCTACATATATATATATAATTCTTACAAACATATTTTTAACTCAGCAGAGCTCTCTGAGATTATTGTATACATAAAATTAGTAAGCTATTTAAATTATCAAAAAATATTTTACCTATTGATAATATCAGTAAGTTCTATAATACGATCTTCAGGTGTCTTTATCATATCTGATAAAGTTTTTGTGTGATACCAATAAAGGCTTGGATCTCTTTCCGATGATATAGCATTCAAGCAATTTATATAACCTTTACCATACCATGGTGATCCTTGATTAGCATGCTTAAGAGTATTTATCACAGTAACAGCTTCTACTAAATCTCCACCATATATAGGACAAGCACTGCACCTTCGGTTATTTATTCTTGCAAGAGATCTGAGATTTTCCTTCCTTGCTTCTTCTTTTGCTAAGGCCAAAGACTCCTACAAAGGAAAACTAACTACATAAAAATCCCAAAATAAATTATACAAAACATTAAACTAAAAGGCATAAAAACTAAATAATTAATAAGGCAATATTTCAAACAGATTTTTTGGGGGGAGATTGGATTGGTGGGCTTTATGGCGCACAACTTAGAGAGGTTATAAGCGCCAGACACATGTTGATAATACACAAACAATTAAAATTAAGTACAATTACACATTTAAAACAACAGAAGTAATAAAATAATGAATATTGAAATGATGTTACTCACGATTTATATAAAAATATGAAATGTGAAGCAGGTATAAAATCTTAAAACATGACACATTAAAATACAAAGATATAATCAAATTAGATGATAAAAGCCAGTTTTTTAAAAGTACTCAAATAAATGAGCATTCACCTCTTTCCCAATAACTAGGTCAAGAGGCAAGTAAGAGTCATTAAAATACTTTAAACGAAGTGTATTAAAATACAAGCAGTCAATTAAAAAGTGATGCACTGTCAGAACACTCCCACAGTAAGAACAAACAAGTTCACTCTTGGCATTCAAAAGGTAGCTATGTGTGACACAAGAGTGATCAACATGAAGATAGTTTAAAATTACTTCCTTCCTTTGGTTTCGTATGGAGTCCTAATGCTCAACGACAAGTTTCACGCTTTGAAGTTTATTGAGGACCTGAGCACCCCACAATAGCCGCCACTTTTCTAGGATTTTTATCGATAACCTTCTTAATATTCGTCACAGGAAAATGCTGGCTGCACAAATCAACAGCAGATTTGGCTGTGACGTCTTCCCTGATAACAAGGTGGTTGGGAACCCAGCAGTACAGAACATCGTAACCATGCTTTTGTAAGTTTAAAGTTAACTTGAGAATATCTACGACTACAGGACTGTAAGTGCTTAAGTTTTCAACGCACTGTACGAGTTATATTAACTTATGTTAAGACTAAGGAAGGGTGGTGTAAACTTCTGCCCTTCACGTGGTCTCCAATTACAAGTCCCATCACAACATGACCAGTTGACTTGGATCCATCTGTATATATGGGAACATAACTGCTATATTTATGCCTGTGCTCAGCAAAAAGTTGCCTGTAGTCATTAATGTTTGTTTTAACGGGACGGTGGAAACATCAAGATGGATTTCTGTATTTTCCCAAGGTGGGATTTCAAAATGCGGTACTGCTTGGGGGAGATACCAGACAGGGAGAGATCCTCAATCAGAGAATGAACTCTTAAAGAAAAAGAAGGCACAAAGGATCGTCGTGCTTCAAATAAAATGTCACAGACGTTATCAAGCAAACATAGCTTATTGGGATGGTTAGGTTGAGACAATATATTAAAATACTGCCAAAGAGATAATTCCTCATGCCTCATATTCAGTGATGGGTCATTACAGTCAACATAAAAACTCTGGAGAGGAGACGTCCTGAAAGTTCCAGAACAAATCCCCAGAGCTTGATGATGAACAGGATCATTTTAACAAAACTGAAGACCGAGCATATCCACAAACAACTGAACCATAGTATAGTCTAGAGCAGTGTGGTTCAACCTTTAGTTACTCGAAGGCCAATCAAATGTTAGTATAGAGAGTGAGGGCCAGATACATTAAAGAAAGAAAATGAATTACATATGAATCACTAGTTTAATATATCACTTTATTTTAGAGTTTAGAAATCAATGTAATCATTGGCACTGCTTTTTTGATACGAGTTTATCAATGTCCACTGTAATTTCAGTAAGGCAAAGTCTTAGGCTCGAGTCCAGTGAAGCACTTTCACACACATGTGTACAGCCAAACAGCGATAAAATTTGCAAAGTGAATTTATGCAGTTTGGAAAAACGTTCTTTAGAAATCAGTTTCCAGAAATGGTGAGTGACATTACACTTTTTAGTAAGGTAGAATGGATCAACTTGAAGATCACAAATTTCCATTTGAAGGTAGCAAGGCACTTCACTTACTTCAATCTCCATGGTGTTGTTTAACAATGAAAGTTTTGTTTTATGGGAGTCCAAATTCTGGAACTCTTTCTTGACATCGGTAATTATTTCATGAAACATACTAAAATTTGTGTCATTTTCTTCTTTCAGCTGCTGGCAAAATGGGAAGTGTGCCGTATTATTTGCCTTCAGTGTAACTTGCATTATTTTTTTTCAAAAGTCTTCAATTTGTCCATAAAGCTGGGATATATTTTGTTTTCTGCCTTGTAGTTTAAGTTTAAAGTATTTAGATGGAATGTTAAATCTCTCAGAAAAGCATGATTATTTAAAAACTTAATTTCTTCCAATTTTTCTTGTTACTCATGCCCAATATTTTCAAGGAAAGCAAGTATTTCATTCCACAAACCAAAAAAGCGGCCGAGCGGTAAAAGCTGCTGAACACTGGTAGTTTGGTCCAGGGTCCGTAATTGCCTCTCTACAAGTCTCATGTTTGCCCCTCCGCAGCTAATTCAAAGGTCATCAGCATCTAAAGATCCTCAAATTTTCTGTTCTTTTTCCAGAATCCATCTATCGATATTAACACTGATAAATTCCGAGTTTAATCGTAGCTGGACAAAAATTGGCAAGTAAACACAGTACAAGATAACTGATAGTTGGCATCCTACAAAAGAACACAATCTACAAGTCATCTCATAGTTGGCAGTCAATGTGTTAAATAGAAATCTTTCCCAATATTTATTTTACTTGAAACTTAAAGCATCTCTAATAATGAATACATTCCTGGATACTTTTAACATCCCCAAGGAGAATCACTGCCAACTTTAAGAAACACTTCCTTTAATGCCACACCACAATAGAAAATTCAATTATAAATAAATAGTAAATATAAAAAATAAATAAGATCATGTCTATTCCCCCCACATTCAGTCTTTCATAAAACAAACTATCAAAATACAGAAAGAACTTAAACAACTATACTCAGTAGTCCTTATTACATATTTGTTAAAAATTACCCTAATAGCATGAAAGAAATTTCAAGCATATTCCAAAATAATCTGAAAAGAAACTACTTAAAAGATTCTAATGAAGAAATACCACTTATATTCAACTACATACACAAATCTAGAGTAACCAAAAGTCTTCACATTTTTTTAAACAAATGCTGAAATATGCACGTGTTTCTCTTAACTCACCAAATAAAACAAAGAATTTTTTTTCTCAGCAGCATTATTACTTGATGTTTCTAATTTTGGTGCAGGTTTTGACAAAGAATGAACAACAGGAGTCTTTGTAGCTTGTAAATGATTTTGACTTGGAACATCTGCAGCTATGAAATAAAAATCAAAGACATACACCTTAAAATAACATTAAAGTTCATGTATAGCAATATGAATGAGTTCTCAAAAAATACAAATATCAGATAGATTAGCTTATATAATTACAATAATTCTTACACTAGAAAATTAAGAACCACCAGCAAAGTAAAAATATCGAAAAACCAAAGAAATAAAATATGGGGGGGTCGAGCTGATGAGACTGAATGAATGTTATAAACAAATGGATTGGATGGGGTTGAAGTCGGTACATTTGTTTTTCTGACCAGACAACAACACACTCAAATTAAATTTTATTAATTTCTGTTCTTCTCTTACATTAGCTTAATTACTGATGAACAAGCAATATGAAAAAATAATTCTTTGATATTGACAGTATGATGGAATTTTAATAGGTATTTCTCAGATGTCATTTTCTAAATTTATAATATAATTAACGGCATTCTCATTTCTTACAAGTAAAATTTTTAATTTCATAAACAGAGCATACAAAAATATAAACTTAGTTTCAATTATTTTATACTAAAACTGAGAATACTAATATATGACAATATAATATTCAACAAAATGAAAGCTCAAATAGCTGAAATATTTAAAAATTTTAGAAACCTCTTTTTGAGGGGGGAGGCCTGAAAGAGTAACAAATAACAGATTCACACGATTTGAAACATTATAAAGCATACTCAGAAAGTTTACACATTTTTGAAACGATTTTGATTTTTTCCATGAATTTAAATGCAATATCAGTTAGTTCTACACAGCCACCAGAGGGCATCACCTAATGCGCCTGTAGCGAGAGTGAGATAAATGAGAAGGATGACATATAGACAGATGTTGATTCCATGCGAAAGTGGTAACAAAAGAACTTTACAATTATAGTGAGCGCAAGTAGGCGCCGAGCAGCTATTTAAATACTAAAAGTGATGCACAACTGTATTTGTATATAAAAAGAGTGAGTTATTCTATTCAAATCCTGTCACTTTCTTTTATATTTCATTAAATGTTTTGTGGTGTGGAAGACATGCGGAATTGTTATTTACTTCATCTTCAACTCCCCACCCACATAAATATTAATTTTAAAATACGAAATGACTGGCATCAAATTGGAATAAGGTTTAATTACCGTCTAACACATTATAAATATTCTTTTCTTTTAAATGTCGCTGAAAAATAAACGAGGACTATATTTGTACGCTGTGTGATGACCAATACTCTTATTCAATTATTAAAAAAAGACGTGAAAAGCATGGTTTTAATATTTCGTAAAATAAGTGACATAACTAATATGAAAGAAAAGAAACTTCAAAGTTTACATTTGACTGGGAAAAAGGCAAAAAATGCATACCCAACAAAAGTATGTACAGCTCTTATTAAATCTAAAGCTGCATCTCATGTTTTAAAGGAAAATCCACCCCCCCAAAGAGCTATTGCAAAATCTTTAAATACCTCTGTAAGAAATATGAACAAAATTATAAAATTCAATTAAATAAAACAATCCAAGAAAAAAAAAAAAAAAAAACCTGATTTTAATTACCTAACACCGAAGCAGGCTTCTCTATGTTAAGACGATGTGCAGATTGCTATATGAAAATTACTTGGCAAGTCAGAAATGGACATATATAGTTACAATTGATGAAGCTTGGATATACTTATCTGATTGCAATAAAGACTAAATATATTGGTTCAGAGAAAACAAGGAAAGGTTTTCTAAAGGTTTTATGATTAATACTGGATTCTACTATAATGGAAACAGGGTTCGAACACATTTCTGCACACGGAAATTAAGTACTTTAAGGACCTTAATGAAAAAATTTAAGGACCTGAGCAAAGCGAACTGAATAAATTCAATTAAAAAATATTATCTATGCCTGCATTTCACATTATAATACCATCCTAAAAAAAAAAATTCCTAAGTAGTATGTATTATATAAACATGAACTAACATTATAATATAAGTTGAAAAAAAAAAAATAAGCAATTATCAAGTAGCATTACAATTAACTTATAATACTTAAACATTTGAAAGAAGGACATTTATGTTTTACTAACAGGCTTATGTTGATTTTTTTTTTTTTTTTTTTTTTTTTTAGTCTCATATGGTAACATACTTGGTCAATCAAGAGGTTTAGTAAATAGAAGGTAGATTTTATGTCAAACGGCATAGTGTTAAATGTTCATCTAAAGTGTCTTTCCCGCATTAGAAGGTGCCAGGGGTTCAACTTGCGAGAGAAATTAAAACCTTGTTTGTTTTTTTTAAATTCTTTTTTTGTAACCAGTAGATAGTTCGTTTTCGAATCCGTGTGATGGACGGATAAATTGATTCATACAGCCATGAGAGAAAGAGAGAGGCTGTACAAGAAAATGTATTTAAATTAATTTTTTCCTTTTGAATGTTATATTATATTATGTAAATAAATAAAAATGTGATGTTAAGAAATAGAATTGTGATTTTTCTGTAAAGAAGATTGCCAGCTGAAACATCACGTCAGATTCAACGATACATCTGAAAAGGTAAATGAATTTTGTTCTTGTTTTTTTAAATCAGTTATATAAATAGAACCTGCATACGACAGTGGATTCTGCCAACTTTCGATCAACAGTATTTGATTAACTACGTAATAAGGCATAAGCTTCACATTGAGAAGTAAGTCATTTCTGTTACAGTTCAACGACCCCAAAAGACTGAATCCATTGTCACCGCTTGCTGCTTGTTTAGAGCGATTATGTTTTAAGTCTGGTTTCAACGCAATATTTTTTTCCCGTATTTTTATTTATTTTTAGAATACATATGAAGTAATATGACTGATTTTTATTTATTGAATCAGCGATTGTTTGCATGCATATTTGAAATAAATGTATGTGTGTATATGTGTGAAGGTGTTCTAGATTTTTGTTTATGTTCCAGATTAGTGAGATGCCCCCTTGCCAACGTCAAGGCCCCGGGACACGAGGGAGGTTTTTTTTTAGTTACCGTAATTTCCAGAAGAAACACTCCGGTGTTTACGTGTTTAAAACTTAAATTTTCAGCGGGTGTGGCATTTAGGTGCACTAAAAATAAAATATTTCCTATGATGGTCATTGTACATAGTTTGGATGGCCTTGTCATTGTGCATAGACTGGTGCTGTTCCCACACAAAAGGCCAATCAGTTGCTTTTTGCGAACGCTATTTTGTTTACATTCTTTTCCTTGAATGGACCTACATGCCTTATTCACCCTATACGAGATCTCAGAACAATAACATTCTTCCCCTTTCAAATCAAAATTGCCATCAGTTTGAATAGTCTCTCTCCTCTGCCATTCGATGAATCTTCCAGGACCCATCCTTTCCCCACTCCTGCTCTTTCTGCAATTTTTTCAAAGGCAGACACGACTCCACCTGCCTCGCAATAACGAACTGGAGTATTCCCCTCAGCATGCATCTATTTTTAGCTTCTACCAGTACAGATCCCATCAGTTTCGGTACAAGTACTTGGTTGGATAGTTTTAAGTAAGAAGGAGCAGAAATTTTTTTTAAATGTCACCTAACGGCACGAAGCTATACTGCTGGTTTTAAGCTTAATGTAATTTCACGTGATGAACAAATTGGAATTGAGCAACACTCGAGAGTTTGAAGTGAACGAGGATGTATTCGACGTTGGAAAACTGAAAAAAAAACTTCTTAAAATATGCCACACAAAAACGAGCCAAAAGAAGTGGTACTTAAAGTGACCGAATCTAGGACGACCTTGCAAACTGGATAAAGGAGCAACGAGTAAAGTAATGGCAACTTTGACTGTAAAAATTTGCTTACAAGCAAAATTTATAGCAAAACGATGAACATAATGATTTCAAAGGAGGTGTAGAAGATTTATGAAAGAAAAAAATATTTCTGTGCATACTAGAACAACAGTCGGGCAACAATTACCAATGGACTGGCAGGATAAAAAGTCATCTTTTCTAAAATATGTGACATATTATAGACAAAAAAAAAAAAAAAAAAAAAACTTCTTCGATCACAGATAATAAACATGGATGAAACGCTGTTAGCTTTCGACTCTCAAGCAAACAGAACTGTTGATGAAACTGGTTCAAAAACTGTATCTGTGCTTATGACGGGGCATGAAAGAACGTCATTTACATGTGTGTTAGCTTGTGCCGCGAACGGTGACAAGGTAAAGCCGATGATCATTTTTAAACGAAAAACTATTCCGAAGGGAGATTTTCCTAATGACGTAATTATTTGGCCAACCGAGAACGGCTGGATGTGCGAAACAATCTTCATTGAGTGGCTACAAAAAGTTTGGCAGTGTCGTATGGGATCTTTTTTCCAACCAAAAGGGTTATTGATAATGGATTCCATGCGTGCTCATTTACTTGAGTCAGTGAAAACCAGATGTCAAAAATTGTCTGCGACCAAAGCAATAATTCCTGGTGGTTTGACAAAAATCTTACAACCGTTAGATTTGTCAGGTAATAAATCCTTCAAAGTTGAAGTCCGAAAGCGGTGGGAGTGTTGGATGAGTGAAGGATTGCATATGTATACCAAAAGCGGCAAAATGTGTAGAGCATCTTATGAAGAAGTTGCAAATTGCGTGGAAATCGGTAAAAACATCGTCAATAATAGCAGGGTTCAAAGTAGCTGAAATTATATCCTTAAATAAAGAGACTGTAAACCAAGAGGATGAATGTGACGATCTGGAAGACTTAGGTCAGGATTTACTAAATCTTTTTAATTCAGATAGTGAAGAATCAGATTTTGATGTCTTCATATGATGTATAATTTGCTGTAAGTAAAATTTAAAATTTCCTTTTGTCATCCAAATTTAATATTTCGTTATTGTTACATTTTTTATAATATAGTCTGAGTATTACAAATATGGACTTCTTTAGTGGGTAAATATAACTATAAACGTGAAGGTAAATATATTTTCCACATTTCTTACCTTTAATTTATTTTTGAGTTATGGTTTCATTTCATGCATTTTTCTTAACTGGTATGTCATATATCAGGAC